CCTTAGTGCTGCTGAGGAGGCAGGAGAGGTTACACTGCCACCGCTGCACTCCTCAGCTATGAGCCTGGCTCAGAGCTTCTGGCTGAGTGGTGCTCCCCCTGTGGGAGCGCACTAACCAACAGGGGGCAGCTCCTGCGTTGATCATCTGCCCACTGGTGTCAGTGCACGTCATAGCTACCAGTCATTCACCATTTGGTCGATTTACATATTGGCCTTTTATTATATAGGACTAGAGGCCCGGTGCATGAAATTCATGCACTGGGGGAAGGGAGGAGGTGTGTGGTGGTGATGGTGGTGGTTCCTTCAGCTCAGCCTGCATCCTTTCCAATCTGGGATCCCTCTCACAATCAGGGACTGCTGATTCCCAACTGCTTGCCTGCCTGTCAGCCTGATCACCCCCTAACCACTCCTTTGCCAGCCTGATCGACGCCTAACTGCTCCCCTGCTGGCCTGATTGTCCCCAACTGCCCTCCTTTGCCAGCCCAGTCACTCCCAACTGCCTTCCCCTGCCAGCCTGGTTGCCACTAACTGCCCTCCCCTACTGGCCTGGTTACCTCCAACTACCCTCCCCTGTCTGATATCTTGTAGCAGCCATCTTTGACCACATGGGGGCAGCCATCTTGTGTGAGGGTGGGAGGGTCAATTTGCATATTACCCCCTTATTATATAGGATATTGGAATACAGAAATCTAGCAGAGGTGGGCCCAGCTTCTGCTCCATGTTGTCCAGTTGTAGATAATATATATAGAATGTCCATTCTTCCTTCGCATTGCTGCTCACTTTTCCTCATTAGTCCATCCTACTTGTCACTTTGTTTTTATTTCAGAAGCTTCTCCCTCAAGTAGATGTAAGTTCCTTTGCTCATTTTCTGGCATCCCTAATCTAGGCAGCCTGTATTCCACACTTTTTCTTGGAGACCCACTCTAGCCAGCCCAGTGTCCATAATCAAAATGGCACCTGCTTATCAGATACCTTTTCAGTGCCTGTTGCCTGCGCACATACATTATTTTCAGCGTATGTGCCAAGTGTTCTCTTTTGGACTGGGTTAATGGTTCTCCCTCAGTCTGTACTTCTTTACCTTTTCCCTCTTGCCTGTTGAAATTCTACCTAACTTACCTTTACCTGTTCCATCCCTTTCCCTTTCCTTGCCACTCACTCAGATCGATCTGTTTTTCCTCTCGTTCTCTTTCTTTCCCTCTTCTTGTCTCATGTGGATTGAGTCTCTTAAGAGTTTTGTTCTTCGATCATTTCAGTGTGAGATCAATTTTATTACAAACTCCCTGTGGCCAAGGATCTTGTTTTATTTCACTTGGCTCCCACATAGCACCTAGCAATGTGCTGAGTAAATAGTAGGCAGTTGGCCCATAAATTATTGGTTGACTTAGGAGAAAATAAGTACAGTGAATGGAGGAATGGCAGGTCCAGTTACTGAGGCACAGAAGAGTCTCTTACTCTCCGTAGTGGCAGTGAGGGCCTTTGTCTGTGTGCTTTGCTAAGAACATTGCCAGCAGTTGTGGATTTCAGAACATCTATTTTATTAAACTAAGCAGTACATATCAAAACTGTAAGTTTTTATATTCCTCTGTGTTCATTAAAGGGATTCTATAGCTTCTACCAGCTATGACTTCGTTGCTACTTTTGTGTTTTGTGTTTTTTTTTTCTCCTGCGACTGTTGTTTCTTTATAACTTAAAGAATCTTCAAATTTCCAATTTGTTTTTGGAAGTAGACAGAATAAAACTGTAAATGAATAGATAGACAGATAGACAGATAAAAAATATATATGTGCTTTCTTTAGAAAGCTGGCCTCGCTTTCACTTTATGTTGAAGTCCCATTTGTGTTTCAGGTCATTATGCAGCACTTGGTTCAACCAATTAAGTTTTTTCAATGTATATTTATTCTATATCAGTATGGTCTTTTCTTGAGGCTTTAATATCGTTCCTTGAGGAACATTCATCATTCTGGTGCTCTTTTGTGGCTTAAATGTTTTCCCCCTAGGACCTTTGACAATTTTCCCAAGACTAGCAATTTCAGGAAGTGCTTAATAACATAATTTAGGTTGCCTCTATATGAGAATCTACAGGATTCCCTTGGAGATTTCCAACACGCAGTGTTTACCCTATAGTTTCTTAACTCTGCAAAGCACACTTTTGTGACATTCTAGCTATGCTATCTTCTCTCTCCTCTTTTTAACATCTTTGCAAAGGGAGGTTGGGGTAAACTCACTAAAATGTAAGTCAGAGGCTTTTTTACATTTTAGTTGTGAGATCAGGAAAGTATAACTTAGCCTCTATAATATATTTCCGCAGTCCCCAAATTACTAATGTTTTCCTCAGTAACAGTTGTACGTACCTGAAAGTGGTCTACAAAGATTATATAGTTTAATTGTTTATTTACAGATAGATACTTCAGCTGTCATGTCAGATAGCTAGCTTCAAGTTTGGCTCCGTGGATAGAGTATCAGCCTGCGAACTGAAAGGTCCCAGGTTTGATTCTGGTCAAGGGCACATGCCCGGGTTGTGGGTTCGATCCCCAGTGGGGGACTTGCAGGGGGCAGCTATCCATGATTCTCTCCCTCTTCCTTCCTCTCTGAAATCAATAAAAATATATTTTTTAAAAACCCATATAATGAGAATTATTCACATCTTCTCTTAGTAATAATAACAAGTCCCCCAGTGGGGGACTTGCAGGGGGCAGCTATCCATGATTCTCTCCCTCTTCCTTCCTCTCTGAAATCAATAAAAATATATTTTTTAAAAACCCATATAATGAGAATTATTCACATCTTCTCTTAGTAATAATTATTCACATCTTCTCTTAGTAATAATAACATGTAGTATTTATCATGTGCTAAACACTGTTTTAAGAGTAAATATACCCACACTTTATTCTTTTAAAAGCAACATATAGCTGGGTGCTTTATCCCCTCCCCCCCCATTTTTAGAAATCCAAACAGAGAATCTCTTGGCCTTTTAATTTTTTGTTTTTATTTATTTATTTATTTATTTATTTGAGAGAGAGGTGAGAGAGGAGAGAGAGAAACATCAGTTGGTTGCTTCCCGCATGTGCCCTGACCAGGAATCAAACCCACTATCTTTGGTGCATGGGATGACACTCCAACCAACTGAGCTATGCCAGCCAGGGCTCTCTCTGCCTTTTAACAAGAAAGTTTAATCTGCCTTTTTTAAAATCGTAATTATTAATGCATTTGGAATTATTTCTACCATCTTAAGTTGTTTTTTTTATTTAAAACACTTTCTTTGCCTTCCCTTTTCCCTTTTTTTTAATTGCTATTGGATCAATCACATTTTTTTTTATTTCCTTTTATACCTCTTGTTTGAAAATATTTATTTAGTTCCTGTTCTCTTTTGCCCTTACCTGTTAACATACATCTCTTAACAAAGGTTAAAGTTAATCATTGTTTTTGTCATCCCCTTGACCTTGGAACACTTTAACTCCGGTCTCCCTTCTTTCATCTTCTATGTTGTTGTTTTTTTAATTACAGAAAGGCAGTGGAGTTTTAACCACCTCAGAACCAGGCTGCCTGAGTTTAGTTTTCATTAACCCCTACTCCCATTTTCCTCCCCCCTAGCACCCACTCTTACATATATTTGATAAAATGTCCTTGGCTGTGTATGTCACTTTATATACCATATAGGATTGTTTTGATTGTGTATTTTTGACTAATGTAAACGGTGTCATGCGCTATATCTCAATCTGGTTCTTACATTTTTTACTCAACACTGGTTATTTAAGATGTGTCTATGTTTTGGTCTGAATAAGTACTTGGCGGTTCTTTGCACTATATTCCATAGTATATGTTATAGACACATTCTTTTAGTGATGGACATCTAAATTGCCTCTCTTCTCCCTGCTACCCCAGACAATACCCCATTGATCTTTTTGCCTATGTTTTCTTATGTGAGAATTTTTCTAGGATATATACCTAGAATCCTGATTTCTGGGTCATAGGCAAATATGCACAAAAATTTTAATTAAATATTACCAATTTTTTTTTCCAGGACAACTGTATCAATTTATAAACCTACCAGTGGTGCCCTGGATGCAAATCCATGTTCCACCACATGTTACTGTGAGACACTGGAGAAATTACGCAACCTCTTTTGGCCTTTGGTTGCCCATCAATAACGGGATAATTACAGCATCCGCCTTATCAAATAAATGTTAGATGTGTTGTAACAATGACTGCTACTATAATTGTTATCCATTAAATAAGCTTTTCCTTCTCTGAATTGTGTAGTTATATAATTTTCCCATTTCCCATCTCCACTTGGATTTCAGTGTTTTCCCTAAGATTTACAGAAACTTCTTAAGTAGTCTAGATTTGATTCTTTGTTGCCTTTAAACTTTGCAAATATTATCTCCTATTTTACCATTTGTCCATTTGTCTATTAATTTATATCTACAGAGTTCTTTGACAGAAACTTTTAATATCAGTATAGTCAAATTTATCCTTTACCTTTTTATTCTTCTACCCTTTTTTTGGCTTGTAGTTTAAAAAGTTTTTCTACCCTTCAAAGATACCCTTTGACATTTTCTACTGTTAGCTTTTATAGATTTACCTTTCACATTCATGTTTCCTCATATAGCTTACAATAGCGAGCTCTTTTCTATATTTTCCTTTTTCTCTGAGTGAGTCTATGCTTAGGGTTTTGAAAGTATTCTGGGTTTTTTTTTCTGCTGCGTGTCAAAGGCCAGTTTTTATGTTAATTTCTCTGCTCAGGATTTCTGTAGAATGCAGGGTGTACATTTGGATGTTACACCTCTATGGCATACATACGCCTTCAGTGCCCCTTCATATTAAGCAACATTTGTTAATGAATGAGTGGATTGCCTTAATATTTCATTCAAGGCACTTCCCTGTGTGTTGTGAAGTATTAACATGGCCTTTTGCGGTTTCTCTAGGATCTAGTGCTGATCCTCACAAAGCAAATCCTGGAAGAACAGAGGAAGAGTTGGCCTCGAGGCAGAGCCCATGCGATGGAACTCCCCAACTACAGCCGGCAGCTGCTCCAGCAGCTCTACACGCTGTGCAAGGAGCAGCAGTTCTGTGACTGCACCATTTCCATCGGGACCATTTACTTCCGGGCCCACAAACTCGTCCTGGCTGCTGCCAGCCTCCTCTTCAAAACCCTGCTGGACAACACAGACACCATCTCCATTGATGCATCCGTGGTGAGCCCCGAGGAGTTCGCCCTGTTGTTAGAGATGATGTACACCGGCAAACTGCCTGTGGGCAAGCACAACTTCTCCAAAATCATCTCTTTGGCCGACAGCCTCCAGATGTTTGACGTGGCCGTTAGTTGTAAAAATCTTCTGAGTAGCCTTGTAAACTGCTCTGTTCAGGGCCAGGTGGTGAGGGATGTCTCCGTGCCACCCTCGGAGTCATCCAGGAAGGAGTCGGAGAAGCCCGAAGTAGAAATCCTTTCTTCAGAGGGTGCGGGAGAGCCGCCTCCCCCCGGGGAGAGTTCCTCCCCAGTGAAGGCCGAGACGCAGGAAGCTGTCCCTACGGTTGCACAAGGGGATGCTGACGCCCCAGCGGAGACTCCTCTCACTGCGGAAATCTGTCCTTCCCCCCCTGTTGTCCAAGCCTTCAGTGAGGCACAGGAGGCCAGCACAGAACCAGGTGATACACGTGTAATAGTTGTTTTGTAATCTATCCTATCATCAATTTCTAGATTCAATGACCTTTATGAATTTTTTTGTTTCATTGATAAATTTATCAAAGACCACTGATAGGTAGGAAAAAAACAAATCTAATACATTACTCCTACCAGGACATTCTTCTTGTAAAAGTACCTGTGTTTGTGAGTGTTAAAAATCTGAAGCTGAACTACAGATCAGAAAAGCAATATTGGAATAACAGTGCACCATTTTTTATACCTGCCCATTATTTTAGCCAGAATGAGGATGGCACAAAGAAGGAAGATGTTAGAGACACAGTTTTCTATTTATTACTGATAACGGGTGTGCTGCATGACTCACAAGTGCAGTTTATGACCTGAAGCTTCTCTTTCAAAAGTCATTTCAGGTAACGAATCACTGAGTTTTTCTTTTTGTTTGTTTTACATTCAGAGTATGAGACAAAACACTGCCAGGTGAATTTTCTTCTAGAAAATGAAAGTATCTTCTCAGACGCACTCTTGGTTACCCAGGATGTTTTAAAGAAACTAGAGGAATGTTCAGAAATTAAAGGTTGCCAGAAGGAGGTAGGTACTGAGTTTTACTTGCTAGTTTCGTGTTCTCAGGGTACCAGATCCGCTTCTAAAATAGGACAGAAATATGAAAATGCAAAATCCCCCAGAGTTTCAGTTCTTTCAAACTATTTTTTTTAAACATCTATTCCCTAAAGTACGAGGCAAGATACTTTCAAAACAAAATTGATTAACAGGTGAATTCCAGCTTATAACTAATTTTGTCTTTTAAGTGATTATAACATTCCCTCCGGTTAATCAAGGATTAAACAAAATAACAAATACTTAACACTTGGTACAAAAAGGATGCAATATAAACTTACCTGGTAAATTGTATCCAAAGTTTAGGACTACAGTGGCCATTTTCAACTATCCAAACAAGAATGGTGAACATTTAGTGTGCTATGTTTGGAGCACGTGTTATCTCATTTAATCCTCACAAAAATCACAGAGGTGGTTGCTACTTTGGTATTTTTCAGCCTTGTTTTATGGAGAGAAAACTATCTTAAGGAGATGCTGTAACTTGGCCAAGTCACAGAGCTTGTGAGACTGAGCAAGAATTCATTAAGCATTCTAACTTGAGTTCATACTGTCTCCCAAATAGTAAAAGTGCTGTGTGCTATATTAATAAAAGCATCATATGCTAATTAGACTGATGACCTTCCAGAGGAATCCGGGGCTGCCGGGGAAGCCCAGGTCCCGGGTGCCAGAGGGAAGCCGGGGGGGGGGGGGGGGGGAGGAAGGACTACTCTTTTTTTTTTTTTAAGATCAGGGAGAGGGGGAGAGAGAGAGAAACATCAGTGATGAAAGAGAATCATTGATCAGCTGCCTCCTGCACGCCCCACACTGGGGATCAAGCCCACAACCCAAGCATGTGCCCTTGACTGGAATCGAACCTGGGACTCATCAGTCCCCAGGCCAACTCTCTATCCACTGAGCCAAACCAGCTAAGGCAGGAAGGCCTACTCTTGCAAGAATTTTGTTTATCGGGCCTCTAGTGTATGTATAAATGTTCAGAAATTAACTGACATAAAAATTGCCAAATGGTAGTCAGGCTCTGTTTCTTAGCCAACCCTTTTTTTCTTCTTCAATATCTCAGTGAGACACCCCCCCCCCCTCCCTCACCTGTAGGCTCCCTCCCTCCCCCATTACTCACAACCTGCAGGATTGATCCCAGGGCCATTTTGGAACTCCCCTTGCTTTCCCTTTCCCCCAGCCCTCCCTTCCCAGAGGTGCTGGCAGAGGAGAGGGCACTGCCCCCAGGCTTCCTCATCTGATTGGTGGGCCGTGTTGTGAGGTCTCCCATGCTGCTGTAGGTGTTTGGTTTTTGTTAGTTACTATTAATCCGATAAATAAATGCCTTCCAATATTTAAATATATCCCTTATGCATAGTAAAATTAAATTAAAAAAAAAAAAAAGTCAAGGTCAAGTACTTATTTTAACCATGGTTAATCAACAGTTGGCTATAAATTATTTTCTTAAGAGATAAGAGATATTTATAAGACTGGGTTAACCTTGAGGACTCTTTTAGGGAGGGTTCAAATTATAAAGTCTTGGTATACTCTGAACCAGTTGTGCTGAAGGACATTATGGCTTTATGTTTTTGCACTTGGATGTTCTCTTAACTGTTTAATGCATCATTTTGTCACTGGTTTGTTACAGGCAGTCCTCGGGTTATGTCGGACTCAACGTATGTGGTTTTGTGGTTAAGTCACCGTCTCCCATTTATTTATTAAAAAAAAAAAAAAAGTTCTGTCATTTCAATGTATGTACCTATGTGCTTTATGTTTTTTATTATTTATTTACCACAAGTAAAGGTCAGGAATTGTTATCTTTCTTTTAAATTTTTTTTTACTGTTTCACTTCATTACTGCTGTGTATGTGCTCCATGTGAGTGACGTAGGTGCTTGTGTAGGTGGGTTCTGACTTACAGTGAAAATTGCGTTTCGTCGTGCCGTAGGAATGGATCTCCGACATAACCCGAGGACCTACTGCACTTTGATAGCTAGCTGTAGTCATACCTCTTTGTTTTTTCTCTTAAGGTTTCCTTCCTCTTAAGTTTGGATGCGGAGAGCAACATCATCCCTTAGTCAGCAATACTGAAATTATTAATGACACCTCTGTATTTTACTTGAATTATGTCTTAATGCATTTTTTCCCTATCACTGGTGCCTAAAAGTATCTGGCACATAACAGGTACTCAAAAATATTTACAGACATGGACTCATTTAACATTTTCCCCTCCAATTCTTATCCTAATCTTTTGATGGCAGTAACATTACTGGTACTTGGAAAGAACACTGAATCACTGCTGGCAATCATTATAGGCTTATGTTATTTCTTGCTCGGTTTTTAGATGTCAGAGTAAGAGCACTACACACCATTTGGTGGCTGTATTTAAAATTGATTCTGTTACATCCCATAATAAATCTTCCTGCTGCAGAAAGAAAAAGGAAAAAAGATACTTCAAGAACATAAGATTACATTAAATAAAATATAGCATTAGGGAGGTGCTGCTTTCTTAGGCCCCGCACTTCTCTCTCTTTTTACTTGCTTTTAGACAGCTTTATTGAGGTATGATTAACATATAGTAAACTGCACATACTATTTAAAGTGTACAGTTTGACAAGTTTTGAAACATGAAACCATCACTACAATCAAGATAGTGAAGAGTCTACTGTTTCTAAAAGTTTTAGTTCTCTTGGTAACCCCTCCCTCCTCCTCCTTCCACTCACCCATGCCCAGGTAGCACTGATCTGCTTTCTACACTATAGTTAATTTGCATTTTCTAAAATCTGTACTATTAAAAGGGTAATATGCTAATTAGGCTGGGTTGACTAGCCAACTTCTGGATGTCCAACTTCCTTCCAGACAAAGCCACGGTGGTGAGGGCTGAGGCAGAGGCAGTTAGGGGCAATCAGACTGGCAGGGGAGGGCAGTTGGGGGCGAGATCATGCCTACAGGAGTTTAGGGGCAATCAGGCCAGCAGGGGAGGGCAGTTGGTAATGAGATCAGGCCAGCAGGGGAGAGCAGTTAGGGGCGATCAGGCAGGCAGGTAGTCAGAGAGGTTAGGGGTGGTCAAGCAGGCAGGCAGAGGGGTTAGGGGCAATCAGGCAGGCAGAGGCAGTTAGGAGCCAGTGGTCCCAGATTGTGAGAGGGATATCTGACTGCTGGTTTAGGCCCAATCCCACAGCCAGTCAGACATTCCCTAAGGGGTCCCCGATTGGAGAGGGTGCAGGCTGCGCTGAGGGAACCCCGTCCCCCCATGCATGAATTTCGTGCACCAGGCCACTACTACTCTATAAATGGAGTCATATAGTCTGTATTCCTTTGGTCTGGCTTCTTTCATTCAGCATACTTATTTTGAGGTTGCATATTCATTCCTTTTTACCACTGAGCAATGTCCATTGTGTGGATATACAGTTTATCCAGCTCTGCTAACCCTGTGACCTCGAGCAACTTCATCTCTCTAAGCCTTTATTTTCTAATTGGTAAAATGGGAATGTTATCACTTATATCTCAGAATCATGGTGAAATTAAGGTTATTTAATTTAGTTATGAAAGTCATACTAAAATGCCAGGCACATAAAAGGACTCAGTAGGTGCCAGGCACATAAAAGGACTCAGTAGGTTAGTTATACATTAACACAGCCTTTTTAGATGTAATTAATCTTAAAACCCCCTTTTCACTGCATGCCTTTTTTTTTTCTTTTTCCAAAACAAAACATTTTCATTTTAGCTCCAATGACATTTTTGCCCTCTTTCCCCAAAAACATTTCTAGGACACAAAATAGATTCATAATTGTTTAATTAGATACATTTTATATACTATGAACATAATGGCTCCCATAGAAATAAACTAATATTTTGTACACATAGTTTTATTTATTGTGCCACATTCATAATACACCAAGTGTACAGTTTGACAAGTTTTATGCCTTTTCATTCCCTAATACGATGGTCACTTACTCCTACACGAGATGGTTTGCAGTCGCTTTCGGCATAATTTGCAAGTCATGTTTTCAAATAGGTGCCATTCCCATCTTGGAAGTAGCTTCCTGGTCTGTAGGTGTAGTGACTCCTACACAGCCATTGCCTCTACAACAGTTCAGTGTGTATAAAAATCTCCTGGGCTTGTTAAAATGTACACCTCCAGACCACATTTCCAGAGAGTCTGATTCCTAGGTTCTGGTAGGACTTGGACATCTCCCTCTTTAACAGCTGCCCTGTGGGGTGCTTTTTGGTATCTGTAAACCACATTTTGAGAAGCACTGCTGGAAAATTAATGGCTCACAAATTCTTAGTGTATGATGGCAGATGTCACAGTTTCTCTGCTGACATTTCTTAAACTTTTGTGGGGTCACTGAATATCTATTTTTCCAAGGGTTACTCTTTGCTTTCCCCTTGACTCAGCAAATATTTACTGAGCAACTGGTATGTGCCAGACATTGAGCTGGTTGCTAGGAAAATAAACCTAAGACTAGATCCCTGTCCTTATAGAATGTTCTAAGAGCAAAGAAATCTGCCAGGTGTAATTTGGGGGGAATGTACACAGAAGCCACCAAACTATAGGAATCACTAAAAGACATCAGTGTTCAGAGTATTTAAGATTTGTTCTGCACCTTATAATTGTAAAGATTGTTTGGAGGGTTCAGTTTGTTGTTTTTCTGCTTACATATTTTTAGTTCCCAAAGAGCTTTGAGTATTTTTTTGTTGTTGGTGGTGGTTAGTTATCCTATATAATAAAGAGCTAATATGCAAATGGTTGTCACTCCCTCACGCCCTCACAGCTCAGACACTTATGATGGAGAGAAAGGAATGGGGACCAGCCAGGCACAAATGAGTTTTTGAGACAGGAAAGGGGACCAGCCAGGCTGTAGCCAGGGAGAGGGACAAGCTGCCCACCCTATGGTCCTAGGTGCCAGTGGCTACAGCTGCAGCCCGGGAGAGGGACAAGCCGCCCGCCCCATGGTCCTGGGCACCAGAGCCTGTGACTGCGGCCTGGGTGAAGCTGCCCGCCCACTGTCTCCTGCAATTGCAGTCAGCCTGGGTGAAACTGGCCCAGGTCCTGGGTGCCTGTGGCGAGCCAGAGGGAGGGAAGCCCAGGTGCCTGTGACCGGCCGGAGGAGGGAATCCTAGGTCCCAGGTGCAGGGCAAGGCAGAGGCAGTTAGGGGCAATCAGACATCCCCCGAGGAGTCCTGGATTGGAGAGGGTGCAGGCCAGGCTAAGAGGACCTTGTTTCCCCCATGCACAAATGTTGTGCACTGGGTCTCTAGTCATAACATAATTTGAAATAGTTTAATGTTAAAAATAATCTATGCTTGGACTGGCTGGCGTGGCTCAAGTGGTTGAATGTCGATCTATAAGCCAGGAGGTCACAGTTCGATTCCCTGACAGGGCACATGCCTGGATTGTGGGCTTGATCCCCAGTAGGGGGCGTGCAGGATGCAGCCTATCAATGATTCTCATCATTGATGTTTCTATCTCTCCCTTCCTCTCTGAAATTAATTTAAAAAATGTATTTAAAAATAATTTATCCTTAGATGTGTCATTGTAAGGCTTGATTTAAGGCTTGTAGGCGATTTCTGGTTGAAATGGACTGCATGTACCTTTTCTGAAAAACAGACCAGGCTGTGAAGCTGGCCTGAGTTTAGGAAGGACACCATGGGCCAGTGTCCTGTTTATTTTATTTCCTGAGCTAAATGATGAAAGGTGGCAAAGCCAGTCCCTGAGCAATGATTTCGGCAACATGAGAAGAGGCTGGGCTGTTTGAATTGTGTGAAACCAAAGCCAAAACTGATTACGGAGAAGCGCGTTGGTTCTGGGATGAGGACGTGTCTCCTGCCTGTCTTTGTGTTCCGTCCCCTACCCATTGGAAAAAGCAGGCACTGACCTCAGAGGCTTTCTGGCTGAGCTCAGTGAGATCTTTATTTAAAGGCAAACTCAGGCTTTTTTTTAGCTTTTACGCTAGAATTTTTCATTGTCTTCTTTATTCCTAGCCATGTCCCTGCTTTTAATTAATTGTGTGTATAGCAAAGTGAGCCTTTCACTAGAATAAAGAGATTCCCTTTTCTACTATTGATTTCCTTGCTGTTTGAGCCACATTTCACCTAAAGTTCTAGAAAGACTCCCAAAGCTGAGGATGTAGTAGCATTTTTTTCTCCTTCAACTTTGTTTCAAAGGCAAACAACTTTTATTACCTGCGAGAATCTGATGTTTCAACCACGTCACTGCTTTGGAGGTTAGTCAGAAAGTGTAGGTTTGTGTTGTGTGGACTCTTCACTGACAGGGTAGGCTGACCCTCTTGAGAAGTGAGTTAATAGGGTTCACTCTGCAGGTCTATGAGAGATGAAAATACATTTCCCCCCAAACCTCCTCTGTGCTAATTATCAAGTCTAAGATATGCTACCATAGACAGGAAAGACTAGTGTGTTATGGCAAAGAAATTTCATTTAGGTAAGCATTTATTAAGCACCTACTATGTACCAATCTCCACTAATCATTGAGACTATGTGGAATGCTGCAGGTTGTCTAGATACCACTATTCAGTGTTCACAGTGATGTGGATTCTAGAAGTCCAGTAGAATCCAGTATACATGGATTTGGTCACACTCAAAATCTGGGAGATGGAACTGGATAAAGAGGGTGCCAGGTCAATGAGCTCAGTGTTTGTTTGTTTTTTCGCAGACTCCTCTGCTCGCTTGCCACATGACCTTAGGTGGGTTACTTCACCTCTCTGACTCTTTTAACTAGTCTTGGTAATGCCTCCTGGGAGTGATGTGTGGAGTAAGGTAGATGGCACAGGTGCACAGTCTGGGGTGGTGTTGAGCTGCAGTGGTCTGTATCATTCCTGCTCTCAGCATTTAGGGGAGGCATGAGCAAACAAGAATGTAGTGTAGCCCAAACACCTGATTGCTAACATTTGGGAAAATAAGAAAATTCAGTTAAAAGACCTGAGTGTAAGGGGAAGATTAAGTGTTTTATCGCATATGAGAGAAAGGAAACTGTCTCATCTTTACTTTACTCACATAAAAATGCTTTGATTACACATGTGACTATGAATTTATATGAATTTACTAAGGTGCAGTACCTTTAACTCTAAGAATCAAAGGAGTTCCAAATGTGTGGTTAAAGAACAGAAGTCTGTTTTGGTTCATGTCTTGGAGTCTGTTTCGTGGTAGCAATCAATGAGCCCCAGCCTGTAGCAATTTGTGACACCCTTCTGTTTAGGCAGACACGCTATTTCAGAAAAGAGCCCACTCCACTGTGGAGCCCCAGGCAGCGCAAGGGCTGGAGGAGAAACAGTTTATGACGCTGGCTCTGATACAGGTCCCCAGTAGGTTCTGGAAGGAAGAGCGGAGAGCAGGCCATCCAGGCAACTCACTGCTCCCTCCTGGCTCTTCCATCAGCCCACCCCTCCTTCTCTTCCCAGATGGTCACCCTAGCGTCACTGCTGAGCAATGAAGTTAACAAATGTTTTAATTTCACTGCTGAGTAGTTCTGCAGAGGAGGAGACAGCAGAGAGGATAATGAGAAGCACATCTGATGCCACCATTGATGAAAGCTTCTCTTCCCCAGTGGCTCCAGTGATAATGCCAGACAAATTGGATGCTGAGAAAGGTGGATTTGGGCTATTCCGAGAGCTTCGGGTGCACAAAGCTGGACACCTATAGAATGAAATAGCTACAGGCCATTTAATTACGATGTGCTAAAGAAAGGGAAAGTAAAGAGAAAGAAACATGCTTACTCAGGGCATTAGCAATGAGTGAGTCTCTCTCAGTTATCCATTGCTATGTAACAAATTATTCTCAAGTTTATCAGCTTAAAAGAACAAACATTTATAACCTCATGGTTTCTGTGGGTCAGGAATCCAGGCCTACCTTAGCTGAGTCCCTGGCTTGGGGCCTCACAGGACTGCCCTCTTGTCAACCAGGGCTGCTGACATCTCAGGGCTCTGCTGGGAGAGTGTCTATCTAAGCTTAGTCACACGGCCTTTGGCAGGCTTTGGAAGAGCCACTTCCAAGTTCACTCACTGACTGTTGGCCAGAGAATTTAGCTCCTGGCCGCTGTCGGCAGCTTACAACAAGGCAGCTCGCATCAGAGCAAAGATGGTGCACACTTAGGCAAGGTGGAAGTCACAGTGACCTCGTCTCAGAAGTGGCATCCATTACCTTTGCCTGTTACCTTCCTTAGCTATTAGGGCCAGCCCAAGGGCATGAGTGCCTGGAGGCAGGGACATTGAGAACCATTTTTAGAGGCTGCCTACCTCAGGTCCCTACTGCTGTGAGGGAAAAGGCATTCTACAGAGAGTGTAGGCCAGCTAATAGAAACATGAAGGGTTGGATATGTGTGACTAGAGGGATTAAGCATTCAATTGGTGTCTTAATCTTATTTATTATTTTAATATAGAGACAAGCTAAGTTCATAGTAGTTAAGTAACCAACAAGAAAGGCTATAAAGGAGTGGTCAGAAAGAGCTTATCGAAAATGCTTCATTCAGTCTGATGAAGTTAGAGGAGAATTGTTATACAGAGGCAATAGCAGTGCCAAATGGCACAGAAAGGTCAAGTAGGTGGGATCAAATTGTTGTGGGCCTTACTTGCCAAACCCAAGGAGCATGGGCTTCTTGCATCAAGCTAATCTCTCTTTCTGGGTACTTGTGTTCCGTAGGCCATGATGGGATGTCTGGTGGGTGCAGAAGGACATTCAGCATTCCAGAGAATCCTGGATAAAGTAAGAGCCGGGAGCCTGGATGTTCAGACGGTTGTGTCCCTGTTGAGGTTGTACCAGGATTCTAATCCTGCAGTGAAGACAGCCCTGGCAGGTGGAAAGCCAGAGGCTGCGGAAGCCGTGCAGCCAAGAGGTAGGAGAAGCCCATCCACTGGGTCGCCAGTTTTATTCTGGGCAGATGCTATGAAGTTTGCTCCAGTGATTCATTTCTTCAGTGGCCTAGTTACTGTGAAGTGATTTTCACATAAATTGTGCATGTAACTCCAGAAGCTGCGTGTTAAATATGTACAAGCTAAATTGGAGACTCCATTTCTATCCCCTCGTGTGCTAAACGAGTCTGACACCTTGAGGTTGGAGAATGCCATCAGTGTTCTTCTGCCCTTCACAAAGCCACACACCCTCCCCGATGTGCTGAGCCCAGGGTGAGCTGGTTCGCTGACAGCACTTTAAAGGCTGCAGCTTGTCTCTTTGGGGTTCGGTACAAAGCAGTGGCCTTGCCAACCAGAAGTTAACCTCTGGCTGGCTCTGCAGCTTTGTATTTCCACAGATAAATGAAATACTTTTCCTTTCATACAATTTAAACAGAATAATAAAGTGTTTTCCTTTCCAAAAAGCGAGATTCTGCATTTGGATCCTCAGAATAGGCCGAGAACCACTTTGCTATTCTGTTAGATCTCTCTTGACAAACCATGCTGTCATTTTCTTCAAATTGACCGGCTTCTCTTGTGCGTCTCTAACTCTTTCCCCCCAGGGAGCACGGGAGAGGGAAAGACCTTGTCCGCTCTGTTACTAGAACACAAAGAGGACCTGATCCGGTGTGTAACCCAGCTGAGACCTATTATGGAGTTCCTGGAAACAGCCACGGAGGGATTCCTGCCCGGCACCGAGAAAAGGGTAACTGTCGAGCGTCTCTCCTCCCTTCTGGATTTATAAGGCACTGTTTTTTTTTTTAAACTTCTTTTGCAGCATGTAGCAATTTTCGCCTTGCAGTATGTTTGTACATACTACATAGTAAGCACCTTGAAGTTCAGGTTCTTGATTCATGCCTCTGCATCCTAGCAGCAGCCTGCCAAGGGCCTTACGCATTGTAGTTGTCCATTAAATGGGCAGGTATACAGCAGATGGGTATTCCTGCTCTAGTCAGTGAATTTATGAAATAGTTGCCCCAAGAATTGAAATGTCTAGGTATATTTGTAACTATTATGACACTTTTTCCTTTTTAAAGAAATTATATACTGTTCATCTGTAGAAAATAGTGGGGGTGGGGGTTGGAATTCCAATATCCCGCCATCCCATCACTCAGAGTCAAGCACTGCTAGCCTTGTCTCCCCTTTTCTTGTCTGAGTCATCCTTGCATGGAGTTATCAGACAGTTTTTTAACTGTTTTATTTAATGTATTGTCAATACACCTCCTTACATCAATATGGATTTTGGGAGCTGTATTGTACTCTGTCCAATGGACATACCATAATTCATTAATTCTTTATTGTTGGGCATTTGCTCCCAGTATTTTGCTATTGTAAATGATGTTTCAGAGAGCCCCCTGGCTCTTAATCTTTGCATACTTCTGAAGTCCTTTCCTTAGAATAATTTTAAGAAGTGGGATTTTGAAATAGTATAAAGTGTTTCAAGTGCTTGGTATACGTTTTCAATTGCCCTTCAGGAAGGTTATACCGATTTACTCTCCCACCAGCCGGCTACTAAAATCCTCATAAAACTGCTGGCATGTCTTCTCAAGTCACCTACATAACTGTATTTGTCGGTGTTATTGATTTCAACTTTGTGCTAAAAATATTTTTATATCTGGAAGGAAGCAATAAGAACAGAGAACTTTTGTGGCATCAATTCTTTGTGCGAAGTGGCTTAAATGTTCAGGGGAGAAAGTGTTTACAATAATCACTGGTATGATGGCTAAGCACTGGATGAATATTGAGACTGGATTCTACATTTCCTTTTTTCTTTTTTCCAGTAATCTTGTATTGCTATTGTTTCATATAAAATGGGAATTATCTTTAATCTCAAAATTGTGTTTTGCAAATTAGGTTTTTAAAATTTTAACTCCTTTGAACTTCTTAGAAAAAATATAATACACAAAATAATATTAAAATTAAACCCCTGTTTTATCCTTAGACTTCAAATTAAGTGTAATTTCTGGCACTCAAAGTAAGTTGCTTATGTGCTGGAGGCACCTGATAACCTTAGTGATTCCATTCGATTACTCATTCAAACCTTTTCCTTGATAGCTGGATTGGATGTGTCCTCTGAACTGTTTCATTATCTTGGTAAAACAGCATTGATAGGGCGAGCCCAAACTCAGCCTCATTGTGTGCTGCAAGGCAGACCATCCTGTCATTTTCTTCTGTCGTTTTCACTTAACTTGACAGAAAGGGCTGAAGCAGAAGAACTTAAATTAGTAACAAATTACAAAAAAACATTTCTTAGGATTGGGTTCCACCAGAGCCTCATTAAGCTACTCCTTTTCACAAAGATTGAAGCAAAATAATAAAGTAGGTGTGTAGAGGTGAATGTTGATCAAATAGCCACAGTGTTTTGACATCACGTGGAACATGCACGCAGGTCTTTTAGAGCTTTTTTCTGCTATGGAGTGATGTTAATGACAGGCACCACGGCCCTTATCTGTACATATCTTGGGTTCTGCAAGAAATGGTGAGTAAGAATGACTTCAGGATTAGAAACATACAAAGACAGGAATTACATAGCTGCCATTTACTTATTGCTTGCTGTGTGCCAAGAAATACACTGGGGACCTTTTAAGTTTATAAACTCTACCCTCACAGCAACATTATGAAGCTATGGATATTACCCTAATTTTAAAGAGGAAGAAACAGGCACTTAAGAAGGTTAAGCAGCTCACCGAAAGTCACAGCTGCTTGTAGCCAATACTGGAACCCAGACTTCTCAACAAAGCACGTTTTCTTAACCACTGTGCGTACTGCTGCTAATAATATCAGTAACTACTGTCATTTAGTCACAATCACACATGTCCTAGGGGTTATGCTAGGCTCTCCAAACAGCAGCTTCATTCTAGATGTCTCTTAAGAATAGTGCAAGAGGTGGTACACTTACCTTTTTTGCAGATGAGGAAAATAAGCTCACACGGGCAATAAATTTAGAACTGGGATTCAAACTAGGCCTATCTGGCTTGAAAATGCATTCCTACTCTTAATGTAACTGGCTTCCTCATTGTGTATCAGGTTATAGCTTCGGCATGAAGAGATAGCACTGAAATCAATATGGGTTTTAGATACAAGCTCTTAAATTTTAAATTATGATTCATTTAGTAGAAATCTTAGATCCATTAGACCTTAAAGAAAATGACTATGTGATGTACAGACAAGGAATATGACAACTCATTTATAATATATCCATTCCTTTAATATATATATAATATAAAATTTTCCTTTCACATATATAAAATTAATTTTAAAGTATATTTTTATTGATTTCAGAGAGGGAGAGAGAGATAGAAACATCAATGATGAGAGAGAATCATTGGTCGGCTGCCTCCTGCCTACCCCCCACTGGAGATCAAGCCTGCAACCCAGGCATGTGCCCTTGACTGGAATCGAACCCGGGACCCTTCAGTCTGCAGGCTGATGCTATTATCCACTGAACCAAACCAGCTAGGGCAAACCAATTTGTTTTTATAGCAAAAGTAATTATTTTAAACTGGGAGTTAATTTGATAGTAGCATCCTCTCACATGCTGCTGTGAATGATCTGCTGGATGGCTTCTCCTGAGAGCTGGTAGATACTTTTCCAAAGGAAAGTTCAAAATTCAGTCACTGTGAACCTGTAGATTATGTATTGAAATAACCCCCTGCCTTATCAGTTCCATAAGAGCCAAGTTATGCATAGTGAGTTGTGAATCCATTAAGAAACAGTTCTATTGTAATAGGAAAATATCTGTAAAAGGATGTCATCTGTTTGATTTTTCATCTTTTTGCTTGGTCCTTATGCACGCTTGACTCAGAACACCCTTTAACACACCAGGAAGAACAGATGATGTGGGTGATGACTGGAGCTGGTATATGAGGCCATTGGGAATGAGAAGGATAGACAGCAAAGAACCCACAGAAAGCTAATCCAAAAGTGTACTTTACATCTTATTTTGGAGGACACAGACTAATATGTAAATTATCTGGTATTCAAAATGCTGTACAAATAAAGTAAAAAGAAGTAAAATAATAGAATTGTGTTGAAATTGCAACCTGTACCGCTGTCGTGTACTTTACTGAACAGAAATTGAAAAATGCTATAACTGTATTAATTGCCTATCTGTTTCTCAGCCTTAGTGTCAGAACAGACTGAATCTTAAAAATCAGGTTAGATGTAAGCTACTTGCTCTGCCATGTAGGTCCAGTGTAAGAGTATTTTCACAAAATACAAACTGTTGGAGGCAAAGATATATACACTGTCTGCCACTGAGAAAGATTGATTTTCATAGAGCTATTTGTTCGGAGAATGTTTTGGGTTTTTATTGAAGCAGAATAAGGAAGAGACTTTGACAAAAATAACACCAAAGACCAGCAGAGGGAGGACCTGGAGACAGGGCATCTGGTAATACCAGCTTGCTGGCCTCTCCAGTGGTGCGACAGATACACTAGAATTGCCAGTAACTGGTGTCTGGTTGATTGCTTGCCACCGCAGGTGATTCTGAATTGCTGTGAGAGCGGAACACCCAAGGAGACAATAGAAAAGTTGTTGCACAGAATGTCTGAGGAGAGGACCCTGACTGCGGAGAGTTTGGTAAAAGTCCTTCAGGCTGTGAAGGTGCCGTTCCCGGATTTGGGCCTCCTGCTGGCGAGTTTGCAGAAACTAGCCACTTTGCCCAGCACCGCAGGTATTGTTAATTGCTGGCTCTCTGGACTGGAACCACTCCCACAGAAAATTATAGCTTAAACATGCGTTAGTGCCATGCTGGGCAGCAAGATAATGTTAAATGCCATTGCAAAACAGAAACTAGCTCTCACCAATCAGTGATCTTAATATTTCTGAAGGTAAGATCTGGAATCTGAGAACCATTCTTTCCTAGTAAGCTCCCTTATGATGGTCCAGCGGTGCAGGGTTTGTTAAGTGTGTCTTTCCCAGGATATCACGTGTCATCAAATGGGCCTATCACATGATATCCTTTCCCAGGATATCACGTGTCATCAAACAAGGCTCACGATTTTGACACGTTATGTTGACAAATGTGAGCAGTAAAAACTGAAATCTTGATTTTCCCATTGCCACTGAGTGCTGTTTGGTTCCAGCAGCCCTCCTGTCCATTCATTTCGGGGCAGGCAGTCCGTATTCCATCCTTAGAAAGACACCCACTCTAGCCAGTTCTCTCCTGTCTTAGAGCATTTGAGACTAGATGGTTTTCAGGAAAAGCAGGAAGTGAGAACTTTTTCTAGCTTTTAAAAGTAATATATACTTACACAGACTTGAACAGTTTTAAAAATAAAGGGGGAAAAAAAACAACCTAAAATCCTACCACTTGATTATATCAATATTTACACATTGTCATATTTTATCTGTCAATTATTTGTACAGTGTTGAGATACTTAACCAAATGGTGTAATTTTTCTCATTTAACAGTATAATATAAGCATTCTCCCCCATTACAAAAAGTTCCCTATAATCCCGTTTTTTAAGGGTAGGTAGTTTTCATTCATAAGGATGTGTATGATGTATTACTCAAGCCCTTGTTTGGGTACACATGTGGCATAATGGGTAAGACTGTCAAGACTGCTCATTTTGTAGCTGTGTGACCCTGAGCACGTGACTTACACTTTTTGAACCTCATTCTCTCCTCTGTGAAATAGAGATAAGAAAGGTACCTGTCACATTCGTTTTTGTGGCTTCCATGAGATTATATATGTAAAACATTTAGCACAGTGCCTGCATATCATAGGCACTCATAAATAGTCGTTATTATCTTCATTGTCATCACCACCACAAGTTATACAGTGACAATACCTTGATCCCCAGGAGCGGAATTATTGGACCAAAAGGGAGAATACATTTTAAAAAAATATATATTTTATTGATTTTGTACAGAGAGGAACCGAGAGAGATAGAGAGTTAGAAACATTGATGAGAGAGAGTCATCGATCAGCTGCCTCTTGCACACCCCCTACTGGGGATTTGCCCGCAACCAAGGTACATGCCCTTGACCGGAATCGAACCCGGGACCCTTCAGTCCCTAAGCCGACACTCTATCCATTGAGCCAAACCAGTCTCGGCAGGGAGAATACATTTTTAAATATCAGCAAAGCTAATGGAAATGCCTGATGATGTTGATTTTTCTTTAATTTCAAATAAATATGACCTCTTAAAGGAGAGCATCTAGCAGATTTGCTCAAGGGTTTGTAAACAGAACGGTGGGGCAGCTTCACTACCACAGTCTCGACTCACGCCTGCCTGTGTTTGACCACCACATGGAACCTCTGCCTCAGCCTTGATAAGCCACACCCCTTGAATCTGTTCATCTGGTTCTGTTACATGTGAAGCCTTCTAGTCACTCCCTTCTCTCCTCACCCCATCCCCAGCCCATTGAGCAACCGCTAGCTTCTGCCATGGGCACTAACTTTCAGAGGCTTAATGGTCTGTGACCCTGCACACCGAGTGATCGAGTGCAGCCTGAAGGACATCTGAACATGAACATGCTCACGAGGCCTAAGCCAGGACACTGTGCCCTTGTGCTGACTTCTCCCCTCCTTTCTCATTGAAACTCCCTGGTCCTCCATAGGAGAAGCCCCCAAGGAGCTGTGTTCCACCGAACATTATTGTTTTTCTAATATCCTTACAGTCCAAGCGAGCCCTGAAGATTACGGGACGGAGCTATTGAGACGCTATCAGGAAAACCTCTCTGAGATTTTCACAGACAACCAGATGTTATTAAACATGATCCCGCACCTGAGGAGTTTAGCCCCTGGAGAAAGAGAGGTAAGAGAGGGGACGGGGAGGGAGGTGTAAAATAAGAAAGTAGAGAAAAAGATGAGTTTTTTAAAAGGTATTTATATCTTATATAAATATATACACACAGCCATGTTGAGAAATGCTAAGGGGTCAGTAGAGGAGAAATAGAAGGTGATTCTTGACAAGTAGGATAGCTGTAACTTCTGCAGTAATAAGGAAAGGCACTCAACAGGAGGCATGAAGAACTTCGTTATGTACAAGCATCTCTCTGTAGAGTGAGTGAAGGTGCTGAGAAACTCCTCCCATAGGATCAGTCCCTGGACCCAGTGGCCAGGAAGCCCCTCACGCGAGTGTTTGTGCTGCCTCCTGAAGGTCATGGAGAAGCTGGTGAAACGTGACTCTGGTTCCGGTGGTTGCAGTTCTTTGATGTCAGCAGTTCTAGAAAAGCAGACCCTGTCCGCGACAGCCGTTTGGCAGCTGCTGCTGCTGGTCCAGGAGGCGAAGGCCTGCCCGCTGAGCCCGCTCATGGAGGAAATGCGAAGGGAGCCGGGCGCCGCGGCTTTCTTCCGGGCAGGTAGGTGCCCAACCTGCGTGTGGCCGGCCCACTAGAGGTGTCAGGAGATAGCAGGGGCTCTCTATGGCAGCCTCCGGGCCCTCCCGTTAGAATCAGGGCGAGTCGTTTTGTTTCAGGATGTAAACTTTTTAAAATGAAAGATGCAGTAAGTATTTTATTAAGAGTTATACTCTCAGTGCCATTTTCCTTGCTCCCGCCCCCAGCTAGGAGACAGGTGAAGTGTAGTCTCCTTATGAAGAATTGATTGAGAAAAGGTGAAGAGAATTCCAGAGCCCAGAACGGCACTTATAGTTTACTAATGGGTTCTCACCCCTTTCTTCCAGTGAGCACCCCAGAAAGTGCTGCCTTAGGGGCCATCCTGAGGCACCGCGCGCTGATCCTGGAGGCCATCCAGCACACGCTTGAACTCAAGGGCTTGACCTCGGAGGAAGAGCGCCTGGCGGAGGCTGTGAAAGAGGTGAGGAGGGAATGGAAAGCGCGCTGTTGGGAGAGTCAGTGCTTGTGCGGAGTGCCTGTGTGTGCGAGCCGCTGCCAGCCACACCGCTTCTGCTCTACGTGGGGGGGTGATGTCATCCCCAGTGAACAGATAAGGGAACTGAGGCTCCGAGTGTTCGGTAGCTTGTCTGGTTGCTCCAGCTGCTCAGAGATGAAGCAGAGTGCAAACCAGGTTCATGTGACAAACCCACTAGATTTATTCCTTTTGTCTAAACCTCGAAAACCAAGGGAGCCATACTGCTCTCTAACATGTTTTAAGAAGCAACTTCTTTTAGAGGAAGGAAGCTTAAATGGTCTTATGTGCTCCATTCTGGCTTCTAGAAAGAGCCAAGATACACATAGATAGAACAAAGCGTTTGCCCATATGTTAACAAATAGTGCCAACTCATTTTCTGTAAGGCTTCTCACAGTGTGGCCAGCATCCCAGAGAAGCTAGGTGGGGACTAGGGGAGAATTCGTGGATGTCCAGCCCAGGACCAGGTATATCTGGAGTGGGGAAGACTCATAAAGGAACAAAATTAAACACAAGTTCACCGTGGTGCCTTTTGATCCACGTGGGCATGAGAGCTGTGCAGAGGGCTGGTTTCTCACTGCCACACCGGTGCCCGCCCCACCTTAGTCTGGCTCTCCAGCGGAGGAAGGCGGCACACATTTCTGTTGGCTTCAGAAGGAAGATCCGGCTGTTAGACTCCCCCAGCGCCACACACTTCAGAGACGGGGCTTCTGCAGCTGATCAGTTGAGCCTCACTAATGAGTCTCATGCCTGCCTCCAGGGACAGCAGGCTTATTTAGAGAGACTTGAAAAGAGCAGAAATAAAATATCTTCCAAAATGAAAATTCTGTTTGGCCATCTGTGAATGGTTTTGCTTTTATTTCCTCAGTGTATGACTGTTTCTGCTGATAGCTCTCACTTTCTGAAAGAGGGTGGCTTTGAAAGAATGTTCGTGGCCTCTTGAAAGCCCCTTTCTTTAAAAAGCTGTTTCTTTATGAAAGAAAATGATGTTTAAAGGGTGCATCTAAGTATCTAAAAATGTAAAGCCACTGATCATGCAAATTACTTCCAGATACTGAAACAATTATCTATTATAAGAAGTTATTTTGATCTTCAAGGCAGAAACACCAACAACCAAATCCTACAGTTTTCCGAGCTTTTAATATTAAGATCTGGAGAAGTTCTGGTTGCTGAGAGGGTATTTCTCGTGGCAAACGCTTCCTGCTTCCTGGCGTGCACCTTTTCGTATCTGCACATTTGTCTTCCAGGTGCCTCCTTTTGCACTTGTTAATGTCCATGTTTTTTGGAAAACAGGGCTCTCCATTACATTTATCACATGCATTGTAAGCTTGTTATAGATGGAGCAATGCTTTCCTGAAATTAGCTTGCTTTTTTTTTAAATTAGCAAACCATGTAGAAAATCTGTTGATATTAACCGCAAACCCTCGTCTCATGGTGTTCATTTAGATTCTGAGCATCTCCTCTGAGACAGACAGCCCTGAAGCCTCCATGCGAGCAGTGCTGAGCAGAGCCGCGGAGAAATCGGTGTCGGCCACTGAGATGTGTCAGCTCCTGTGCAGCGCCCGCCGCTGCTCCCCTGGCCTGCAGCCTGTGGTGCAGGAGTTAGCACACACTGGTGAGGAATGGGTGGTGGGGTCCTGTCAGCTCCCAGGGGGTTCGTATTGGAGAGAAGAGGCAGCAGTTCATAGGAGAGTTCATCTTAGCTGTTTTTACTTATTTTATATGCTCTCGTATTTAGAAAAGTCATAGACATAGATGCAGAATGATACTGTTTGTGCTAATCAAGTAAAGAGGATATTGCTTCCGAGTTTTCTGAGCATCTCAAGTAGTCTGCATTCTCCTCTAAGAAGAAACGTTCGGGAGCAGTGGAAAAACTTAGAGATTTCTCTCCTCTGCAGGTTTCCTTACTCAGGAAAATGGGGAGAAGGACAGGTGGAAGGTGAGTAATAAGTTTCACCTGGAAGCCAACACAAAAGCTGATGCAAAGGCAGCTGAGCCCACTGAGGAAGACGGCCAGTCCCGGAAGCAGAATGGCCAGGGGGAGGCTCGCTCCCTGCCAGAACAAGAGAAAGATCCTTCTGCCTCCCCGGACTCTGCCAAGAAGAGCTTTGTGTGTACGGCCTGTGACAAGAGCTTCCATTTCTACTGCCGCCTGAAGGTGCACATGAAGCGCTGCCGGGTGGCCAAGAGCAAGCAGGTGCAGTGTAAGGAGTGCAATGAGACCAAGGACTCTAAGAAAGAGCTGGAGAAGCACCAGCTGGAGGCCCACGGCGCAGGGGGAGAGGCTGAGGCCCCTAAGAAGAAGAAGAAGAGGCTTCCAGTGACCTGTGACCTCTGTGGGAGAGAATTTGCTCATGCCTCAGGTACGTTCAGGAGGGCGAGGTAACTAGCCATGATCATTCTGGACGCTGTGGTTTGGATTTCAGGCTTGGCTCCTGGCAGTATGCACTCAGGGGCAGGGATGGGCTTAGAAAGCAGCAGGTTCCACCGAAACCTGTTTGGCTCAGTGGTAGAGCGTCAGTCCCGGGTTCAATTCCGGTCAAGGGCATGTACTTTGGTTACGGACACGTCCCCGGTGGGGGGTGTGCAAGAGGCAGCTGGTTGATGTTTCTCTCTCATCGACGTTTCTAGCTATCTCTCTCCCTTCCTCTCTGTAAAAAATCAATAAAATATATTTAAAAAACAAACAAACAAACAAACAAAACAAAACAAAAAAACAGCAGGTTCCCACAGAGGCAGGGCGATGTTTGGAGAAGAGCATGAGTTTTGGAATATGTTCTCTGAACTTGAATTTCCCCACCAGTAGGCACCCTCACTCCACCTACTTTTTTAGATTGTTATGAAGATTTAAGATAATATAGCTAAACACCTAGTACAGTACCTACATTAAGTTGGTTTTCAGTAAATTGTGGCTGTTCATATGATAACCAACTATTTTAGCACCTGACTCTTAAGCTTCTATGCATCACTTGAATCCTAATAATAATAAACAAGAGAAACCATGGGTACATAGTCAGAATTGTTTTCCCTTGGCCCAGATGTTGGGTAACCCTAATGAAACATAACAGTAAGTTTTGTTTCACTCTTTCTGGGTGACTGGATCCTGTTTAAGAGAAGGAGAGAGGATAGGAAAGAAAAACCTAGGACCCTTCATGCCTGATTGAACCATGAGTGGGACTGAGGTGACTTTTGGAGCGCTGCGCAGATGGGCAGCTTGGTCATTTGAGGTCAAAGCACATATGACCTGTGTCCGTGGTTTATGCTGGGGTTCCTCATGAGTCCTGGCCCGAGGCATGTTGGGATGGACCTGACAGTGGATACGAGGTAGCGTCATGGCACTGATGACTGGTATCTCTCCGGTCCCTGGCCGGCCTCCCCAGGCATGCAGTACCACAAGCTGACCGAGCACTTTGACGAGAAGCCTTTCTCCTGCGAAGAGTGTGGGGCCAAGTTTGCAGCCAATTCTACCCTGAAGAACCACCTCCGCCTCCACACTGGGGACCGCCCGTTCATGTGCAAGCACTGCCTCATGACCTTCACCCAGGCCTCGGCCCTAGCCTACCACACCAAGAAGAAGCACTCCGAAGGTAAGGCACGGGGAAGTGTGTGTGTGAGTGTGTGTGTGTGTGTGTGTGTGTGTGTAATGTTTCTGTTGATTTCAGAGAGAAGAAGAAGAGAGGGATAGAAACATCAGTGATGAGAGGGAATCATTGATCAGCTACCTCCTGCGCCCAACATGGGGATTGAGCTACAACCCAGGCACATGCCCTGACTGGGAATCGAACCGTGACCTCCTGGTTCATAGGTCACTGCTCAACCACTGAGCCACACCGTCTGGGCAAGAATTTCTTCATTTCTCCTGATACTTGAATTGTGTGAGCTGCCTGAAAACCCACTTGGAATTAGGCAGGATCTATATCTCAAGAAAATTAAAAACAGAACAGAATACAAAATCTCTAGGCACACAGAGGACTAGGAACACATGTGCACAGGCATGTAAATGCTCTGGTGAGTGATTCTGAGGGAACGCTGACTAATGCAGTGCTCTGACTTTATAGTCATAGAACTTATTATACATAAAGCCAGGAATTCCCTAGACTGTAAGGTGGACTTGGAGCATGGGACAGACCTTGATTGCACACCTACTGTGGATCGGGCAGTGGCGGATGCTGAGTGACTGAGCTGGGTCCTGTGCTCGCAGAGCTGGTGGCTTAGAGCGTCTACTGCAGAGACAGTGACAGTGCAGTCACTGGTGGTGTGATACCCAACAACACCTGGAGGTATGGGAGGAGGACTAGGGGTTTCTGGTCTGGTCGGAGGGGAGGAGCCTTCTCCAAAGATTCTGCATAGTTCGGAGCATTTATATGGAAGTGCTAATGCTACTGCATCTTGCCTGGATTGCAAGACTCCTAACCGGTCTCTTCTCACCTTCCCACTGGACAGTGTTCTCAGTAAATAGGCAGGGTAGTCCTTTTGAAACTAAACTATATCCTGTCACTCTCTGCTTAAAAACCCGAGAAGGCTCTTCACCTCACTTCTCCTGACCACCTGTGTGAAATCTCAGAGACCCAGCCCAATTCCCGCCTTATTTTTCTCCATAGTGCTTGTCATACGATTTATTATCTACCTTAGTCATTGCTTAGGGTTAGTCTCCCCCATTAGAATGAAAGCTTTTTGAGGGCAGAGCTGTCAGTCTTTTGTGTCATTGCTGTACCTGTAGAACTCGGAATAGTATTAGTGATGGAAGGCACTTGGCAAACACCTACTGAGTAAATGAATTTCAGAGCCCTGTTGCAGGCACTGGGGACAATGTAACTGTTGCTCTGCTCTCGGAAAAGCAGACCACAAACAAATAATGAGTAGTATAAATTTAGGTAGTGGTCATTGTGTGAAGAGAAATAAGGCAGGGTGAAAGCAAGAGGACAGGGGAGGAGGGGCCTGTTTATTTAATCAGAAAAGGCCTCTAGAGCTGAGAACTAAGTAGAAACCTGAATGAAATGAGAGATGGAACCAGCAGAAGCTCTAGGGGAAAAGCATCCCACACAGGAATGAGCTGAGCTGTGTGAGAGACCAAAGGAACTGGAAGGGGCTGAAGCAGAATAAACGAGTGAGTGCTGAGAGAGGCGGTCAGAGAGATCCCTGAAGGCCAGACCTTGCAGGGTCTTATACGCCAAGGTAAGGGTTTGGTTTTATGCAAACCATGTATTACAGACAATGGCTTAAAACAACAAGATGTATCATCTTACCACTTTGAAGGTTAAAAGTCCAAAATGGACAAATGTTACGAGCCTAACATTTGTCAGAGTGAGAAAATAGAGAAGCCAGGTGACCTTTAATAACTATAGCTAGTCATTGGGAGAAGCTTTGAGTCTCACCTTCATGTGCTGCTGCAGTTCCGTACTGAAAAAGTTCAGGGGATTCAGATTTGGGGAGTGAGCTCTGCCATGCTTGTGGTGGCCTGGTTAAAGGTGGTAATCTGTGGGATAAGATGGCCTGGTTAAAGATGGTAATCTGTGGGATAAGATGGCCTGGTTAAAGATGGTAATCTGTGGGATAAGATGGCCTGGTTAAAGATGGTAATCTGTGTGATAAGAGCTCTGCCCTTGTTCCTGAGGGGGAGCCCGCACTGACATCGCTGTGTATCAGCTGGGTTTCTGAGGCATCCTCTGATGGGAAGGCTCAGGCTCTCACCCATCGTATTGCAAACTGCCTCCTGTTTAGTGCTGGCTCTAATAAACGCATGTGTGTTTCCAGGAAAAATGTACGCGTGCCAGTACTGTGATGCTGTGTTTGCCCAGTCCATCGAGCTGTCCCGCCACGTGAGGACCCACACCGGGGACAAGCCCTATGTCTGCAGGGACTGCGGCAAGGGCTTCCGGCAGGCCAATGGCCTCTCCATCCACCTGCACACCTTTCACAGTATGTACTGAGGTGGTGGCTGTCGGACACTCGGCACAGACCTGGCCTTGAGAAAACATTAGATAGTCATAACAGAATTGTCACTCTACCAGAGCTGGGCCCCAATCAAGGCCTCACACATGTGACAGTCATAACACATTATCACTCTGCCAGAGCCGGGAATGAAAGCTGAGTTGCTACCTACTTCAGCCATTTCCTGCTTGTGCCACCCGCACTCTCTAAGCCTTGACTTCCCTCCTCTGTAGAGACTAGCACCTACTCACAGGGTTGTTGGGAGGATTAAGTAGGTTAACATATGCAAGGCACTGGGAACGTACCTGTCACATGGTGTCATTAAACATTACCTATGCAAGCGTATTTTTATCGCGTCTAAAGTGGAGAACAAGGGGGCACTCCTCCTGTCATTCATGCGGATAGTGATGCTCTGACATTCGAATAGTAGGTCAGAAATCTCTAGGGAGAATTAGAAAACAAGCAGGAGAGGAGCAGCACACCCTGGACAGCAGTAAAACAGACTTTAATTGGTAGATGTGAAGTGAGGAATTGAGGGGAACTGTTTGATGCTGCAGAGCTGGTTAATCCAGAAGCTTCCTGGGATGAAGCTAGGATAGTCAGATGATTGCTGTACTGACTTCTGGTCCTCGGAGCCTGTGACCTTGCATGACCTCTAAAGACAGTCTTGTATAATACCTGGAGCTGTGCACGGCCACCCACATCTTACTGACCAGCCTGTGTTTTTCCCACCCCTTCCTCTCATGGCCGTCCCTCATGGAACCAGACATAGAAGACCCGTATGACTGCAAGAAGTGCAGGATGAGCTTCTCCACGCTGCAGGATCACCGCAAGCACATCCACGAGGTGCACTCCAAGGACTACCACCCCTGCCCCACGTGCGGGAAGATCTTCAGCGCCCCCTCCATGCTGGAGCGCCACATGGTGACCCACGTTGGAGGGAAGCCCTTCAGCTGCGGGATCTGCAACAAGGCCTACCAGGTGACCGCAGGCTCCCTGGCGCTCGGCCCTGTACCTTGTCCCTGTCCCTCGGCTTCTCTCCCTGGTCTAGTCTGAGGAGCACATGGTGTCTCCGGGTGGGACGGCTTGCCTGGCGCTCATGAAGATGCAGCTGGTACTAGTGCAGATTCGCTAAGGTGATCTGGTGGGAGTAATATGGGGGGTTCGGGGGGCTCCAAATGCAGCCCAGTTCTCACCCTCTGAACTGAGTGCTGCTTCCCCCAGGGCAGTCACATTCTTTAGACTCTGTTAACCCCGAGTGTGGAGGGACACGAGAATGGCAATAGTGTCTGTAACGCTGCCTAGAATTATTGTGTTTAGAACTATTATTTTTAACTCCCAGGGAAGGGCTCTGCTTTTTACCTTAGAATTTGGTATGTAATTAAAGGGAAACTCTATAGAGAACTAAAAAAAGAAACCACTCATCTGGAAACCTAAGCACACAGAGAAGAGAAGGGTCCTTGCCAGTAACTGTAAGATTTAGGTTATGGAGAGAAGCCCAGCAGCTCAGCAGAGACTGGGATGTTGACTTTGTACCAGGCTTTGTGCTGGGACATTACAGTACAAAGCTGAGGAAGGCTTGGTCCCTAGGAAATGGTGGGATTCTAGGGAGAGCCCAGCGCTGCTCCGAACCCAGAACCTGCCTGTGGAGTAGGGGCAGGCACCTGCCTGTGGAGTAGGGGCAGATGCCAGGATTTGAATCTTGCTCCTGCTCTTTACTAATCCTGTGACCCTGGGCAAGGCATTTTACCCCTCTGTCTCAGCCTCCGCCTCATGGAAATGATTCTAACTCCTCCCTCACGGGCTTGTTGTGAGGAATGAGTGTCCTGCTGAGCCTGCTCCGTGGTGGCCTCTCAGGACGCGCAGGTGCCTCTTCCCGCAGCCCTAGCCTCTGTCAGGCCGGCACGCGGTGGCAGGGGAGAGTGGGAGTCCAGACCCACCGCCGGCCTGAGAGCGGTGTCCCTCTCGCATGAGGGCTTTATGAGCACTCTGCTTGCTGGAACATCCTGAAACTGAACACTTGCCAAATTCCTTGCAGCAATTGTCTGGTCTGTGGTACCACAATCGAACCCACCACCCTGACGTGTTTGCTGCTCAGAACCATCGATCTTCTAAGTTCTCATCACTCCAGTGCAGCTCGTGTGACAAAACCTTTTCCAACTCCATTGAGCACAAGAAGCACATCAAAACAGAGCACGCAGGTGAGCAGCGCCAGAGGCCGGAGCAGAGAGGCTTAGTGACGTGGATCCTGGGTTTACACCGAACTCCAACTCAGGGCTAGAGTAGGGTGCGGTGGTAATGCTTCATTCTCCCAGCACACCTGGAGGGTGCCTCCCTGGAGCCCAGGAACAGCGGCTTGAGGGCAGTAGCTCTCTAACCCGGAGATGGAGGGCGGTGCAAGCTGCTCCCAGCCCGAGTCACACTCAGCCACAGCACAAGGGAAGGGCGGCTCTGGGGGGAAGGCCTGACCAGCACTGATCAGCTGCATGGCCTTGGCAAGCGCCTTCCTTTCTGAGCCCGCTTCCTTCTCTTCAGCTTGCCTATAGTTAATACCTACCTTGCAGGGGAATCTGAGGATAATCACAACAGCCAGCAGTTACGAAGCATTTCCTATGTGCAAGGTGCTATGCTAAGCACTCCACGTGCATTTTGTCCTTTAGTCTTCACAACAACCTGCGGCCAGGCCGTCTGGACGCAGCGCTGGCTTCTTCACCACTAGAGTGCATGATATGTCATAGGTGGAAGGTTCTTGGCACTTGGTAGGCGCCTGCTCAGTGTTAGGCGTCACCCCTGCCCCAGCCCTGTCACTGTCCAGCCTCAGGGAGCCATCCTTTTCTTCCCGTGTGCTTCGCAGATATGAAGTTCCATGAATGTGAGCAGTGTAAGGAGCTCTTCCCCACGCCAGCTTTGCTTCAAGTTCACATCAAGTGCCAGCACTCAGGTCAGTGCCACCGTCAGTGCCACCACACCCCTGCCCGGCGGAGACCCTCCTCTCCACTGTTCACAGCTGTGCAACCCAGGCCAAGTAGCCTAGCTACCTGTGCCTCAGTTTCCTCATCTGTAAAATGGGGACAGGTGTAGTTCCTACCTCATCGGGTAACTGTAAGGATTGAATATCCAGTAGACAAAAAACACATAGGGGCCTGGCATTCCATAAGCATGACCTGTGATTGTCATTGTTACTACTATGTCTCATCAAATCTAAAAGCTAGTTTAAGATGCACCCTTTAAAAAAAATGAACCATTAAGAAAGAAACACAGCTGCTAATTAAACTCTGCTTCCTTGTCACTTAGAACTTACAGATTATTCTAAGTGCTGTTTTGGACTAGATTTGGTATAGATTTTTATGCATTCTTTTTTTTTTCTTCTTTTTAAATAAATCTTTATTCAGATTATTACAGTTATTCCTGTTTTTTCCCCCCATAGCTCCCCTCTACCCGGTTCCCACCCCAATATGCATTCTTATGAGTATATATAAAAAAGGAAACAAAAGAAATAAGGTCAGACTCCAGCTTCTCAGAGTAGCTTTCAACTCAGATTGTTGACACGTGTGTTACTCCACATGGTGGTAACTGCCCTCCAGAGTGCTGGATGGAGCGCGTAGTGGGGCCTCTGGCTGTGGGCTGTTGAGCCCATAGGAAACTGGTTTATTTTTCATTCCCTCCGAGGGTAGATCTGAACACTCACCCTCGCCTCCTCTCTCCTACGCCTCTGGGCTCCAGTCAGTGAGACATGCACTGCTCCTGTCTTAGGGACTTTCAGGCCTGGTCACACGCTGTGCGGGTTCTAGTGCCAGGCTTCACCCAGTTTCCATGTTCTTCGTGCAGTCGTTGACAGTGACGCCCAACTGCCACCTCGCCCGTGGCGTCGTTAAATGCCATTGAGTCCGTGTCAGAGACGTTAAAACATGCTTCCTAGAACTGATGACAGACGGTGTCGGCAGCACCATTCCCTGCCGCTGGGTGAATAGTGGGCTTCTGCAGAGGCGGTTTAAGCTGTGGTTCACGGGGGCTTCGGGCCCACAGAACCCGGGTCTGCCTGTGAGCGTGTTCCTCGCTGCTCCTCCCTCTCCCTGCCCTTGTCTCTCAGCCATTTCACCCACAGCTCTTCCCTGTCTCCCGCCTCCAGGGTCGCAGCCGTTCCGGTGCTTGTACTGTGCGGCCACCTTCCGCTTCCCCGGAGCACTGCAGCACCACGTCACCACGGAGCACTTCAAGCAGTCGGAGAGCACCTTCCCCTGCGAGCTCTGCGGGGAGCTCTTCACCTCCCCAGCCCAGCTGGAGGGCCACCTGGAGTCCGAGCACCCAAAGGTGGCGGGCACTGAAGCCCAGGCAGCGGCCTCGCAGGTGGTGCAGGTAACGGACCTCAGATACGGGGTGCTACCATGGGGTCCCTAAGGCTTCTCTAGGGGTCTCTCCCGCACAACACGCCTCTCTCTCGGGGTTCTCAGAGGGCCCTGTAAGCGATCCAGTCATCGCTAAGAGGACCTGTCAGAGTCTCTCTGGACCTCTTGCCAAATAGAACAGAGAGTCCTCGTGTCCTGGTCGCCACATGCGAAAAGCCCCGAAGTAGCGGGAGCCTAGAACAAGAATTTCCAAAAGCGGAACCACCCAGGCGGCTCTCCTGATTCCTGCACTTCCCGCCTCCGGTGGGGCACCATGGAGGCGGTGAGAGCTGGGGAGCCTCGGAGAGGTAGGGCTCTTTGTTGGGAGCTCCGTCACCCTGAGAGCTTCTCCGCCGGCGCAGGACACCTCTCCTTCCAGAGGGGGCAGGAAGGAGGGCAGCCCCCCTCTAAGGACGGCAGGGTTTGTGGGGGCTGGAGAGGGGCTGCGGGCTGACGGCCCGGCCGTCCAGCCTCCTGGGCATCACGTGTAAGCCGTGCTCCACAGCCTCCAGGGTGCGAGGGCCAGTCAGGGGCAGGCCTCTGCGTGTCTCTTGCCTTACACCAGAGGCTGTGCTCCTGGCATCTCACCTGTTCGGTTCTGGGTAAGGCCTTTGGGAAGAGTCTGTTGCTGAAAGAAAAGGAAAGAACACGCGGCTTGAAAACTACTCTCTGGATGGCTTTTGGTTGGACATCACAGTTGGTCTCTCCACTCCCAGTGGCACAGAGCTGGGCTTTCCCACTGCTGCCACTTTTATCTAGTGCCCTGCTCCCCGCTCTGGGCTCGTTCTCAAGAGCCAGGGTACCTGTGCCCCCGTGGGCACTCTGGCCTGAAATAGCAGGGGCATCAGGCTGTCCTGAGCTCCGCACTTCAGGTCATCAGCCTGGTGGTTCCAGCGGGAGCTGGGTTACTTAGCACAGACTGGTCCTCCCTGGACAGGAAGGCCGTCTTTGACAGATGCCAACATGGAAGGGGTACAGCCTGTGGAGGGAGGGGAGATACCTGCCCTGCCAGCCTGGTGAGCCAAATGAGGGAGTTGACAGAAGTCACCCTTCATTCACTCGCTCTGTAGCCCTGGAGCCACGGGAGGCTCTTAGCCTGATCAGGCCCAGAAACACCCCTGTCGGCATGTCATTCCAGTGTCCGTGGTTCTAGCATGCCGCTGACACCTTGGTGGCATTCCTTTCACATGGCTCTTGCTCTGCGGTGTAATCCTTGGGACGGGAAGGCCCAGTGTGAGAAGCCGAGCCGGTGTTCACCGGTGTGTAATCAGAGTCTGGGCCTGAGGTGGCATACTGAGCTAAATTACAGCAATTTAGCACACGGTTATTTAAATTGTTTGCCTGCCTCTCCTTTGCATCACTCGTGTGTAAGATTTGCCTCTTCCCATTAGGCACGTGCAATTGCTCTCCTCAGGTCAAAACATAAATATCATCATTACAGCCTGGATGGAAACCATGAAAATTCTGGAGAGCTACCCTGTTTCCCCGAAAATAAGACAGTGTCTTATATTAATTTTTTTCTCCCAAAGTTGCGCTAGATCTTATTTTCAGGGGATGTCTTATCTTTCCATGCGCTAGGTCTTATTTTCGGAGGATGTCTTATTTTCAGGAAAACACGGTAGCTGTGGACGCTGCCCAGAGCCTCATGGTCTTCTCCTTCCAGGTGATCCAGACCCCGGAGCCGGCCGCCTCAACAGAGCAGGTGATCACTCTGGAGGAGACCCAGCTGGCCGGGTCCCAGGTGTTTGTGACGTTGCCCGACTCGCAGACGTCTCAGACCAGCTCTGAGCTCGTGGCAGTGACCGTGGAGGATCTGCTGGATGGGACCGTGACCCTGATCTGTGGTGAGGCCAAGTGAGTTGGCTGCTCATCGGGGAAGGGGTCCTGCACAGGCAGCAGAGAGAACGCTCCACGGCGGGTCCTTTTGCCCTCGGTCCCTGGCTGTCCTGCGTGATGAGCATCTTAGCCCAGCACCAACCAAAACGGTCTCCCTTGGAAAACAGACAGCAGAAGCGTCTTTCTCATAGAACCACCAATGTCTGAGCGTATTGTTGCCGACCCGCCGCCCTCCCACAGGCTGGCCACCCCGCAGCAGAGCAGAGCTTCTGAGATAGAGTCGGAAAGCCATGGCAGGAGCTGGTGACCAGGTAAGCAGAGGTGCCAGGAGCCGCAGCAGAATGGTAGATGTGGGGTCATAGCCCCACTAAGGGGCTGCAGATGCTGTCAGTACCTTCTGGCCACTTAAGAATGAGAGAAAAGCACCCATTCAGGGGTCCCCCATCTTGAGCACAGTTGGCCCTTCCTCACATCTCTCATCCCCCAGCTGCTGGTCATGGGCAGGAGCAGCCTGTGAACACAGCAAGGCCTCATCTACATGGGGACTCCCATCAGGCAGTGCCATCAGCCCTTCCACTAGCGAAGCCTTGGAAGAGTTTCTGGATGTGTTCAGTGGAGGCTGCAAGGCTGTCCCTGCCCCTCCTGCAGCTTCATGGTGCTCTGTACTGAAGTCTGAGCCTCGGCCTTCCCCGCTGCCCTCATCCCCTTCCCTGTCAACACCTGCCTTCTGCCCGACCCGGAGGCCGTGCCCCTCCCTCCAGAGCATGTAATAAAGCTAGCAACCCGCGCCAGGTGGAGCAGTGCCTGTGACCGCCCCGGCTCTGCCTCCTGCCACCGTCCTCCGCGCTGGGTGTTCGGCCTGCTGTCTGACTCTCCAGGCTGCCACCGCTTCTGCAGGTCAGGGATCCTTTGGAGTCTGAATCGCACCAGGCTTTTTATCTTCCATTTCTAACATGTAATCTGGTAATTAATGGGTGGTGGAGTCCATTATGAAATGCAATTAGATGGATGTAGGTCCCCGACATTTGGAGAGAATGACTAGCATTTATCTTCCTTTCCTCCACGCCAGAAGGTTGGCCTGCTACTGCAGTGTTTACACACAGGCAGGCTCCCTGCCACCTCGTGCTTGCCCCCCTGCAGAGGGCAGTGCCCAATGTGATCACTGCCTTCAAGCTCGAGGAGGCGGAAGACTAGCCCACCCCTTTCCAAGCACTTTCACATCACCAGGGGCAAGCAGGGATAAAGGGTCCGTGTTGGTCATGGGAGGGACTTTTATTGCCACCGCACACTGCTGGAAAGGCAGAGGAGGGCCCTTAACACTGCCCAGCATGTGCATGGCCAGGGCCTGTGCTGGCAGTGAGCTCTGCCTGGGCCCTGCACCCACATACTCCTGCCTCCAGGGTGCCCCCATTGTGATGTGCAAATCACTTGAGCTGGGCAGCTCAGGGTTCTTCATTCTGAAGCCAATGACATTTCAAAGGCAAGTCGCCTCAAAAGCCAAACACTGACCAGAAGATGGTGCTCAAACCTCTGAGACTTAGCCTCCACGTGCAGCCCTCACTGCTGCTGCCAAGCCCGTCTGGCTCCGTAAGCTTTTCAGTCCTGTGAGCTGTCAGCCCAGGAGAGCTCTCGATCTGCAAGTGGCGAAATGACACGGACTCTCCCGCTGACGCCAGATAAACCCACTGAGGGAGGAGTGGCCTGTGCTTACAGCGCCTGCAGCCCAGCCCAGCGATGAGGACACAGCGCCTCAGAGCCACAGGCTGCCGCTGGGACCTGCGTGTCCTCAAAACATCTCCAGCCAAAACACCGGGAAATGGGAAGGAATTGCTGAGGGCCTGCAGGAGAAAAGGGCTCCTCCTTTTAAACAGTCTTCCGAATAAGCAAGGTGTGTGTTTTAAACCCAGCTTCCGGTCCTTCAGGTACTGAGGCCCCTTTCTTCGTTCCTGACGGACCCGGGCTGTGACAGGACATGTGCCTTCTCCTGTCACCAGCCCAGCAGGTCGCCGAGGTGGGAGCTGACACAGACCCGGACTGACTGCTGCTGTCAGACTCGCCCGGCACCGGCATCGGGCACGGCCTTGTGCTCATTCTGGTCGGGGATGAGAAAGTTTCGTCTCTGCTCCGAGGGGACCTTTGCAACATGCGGCATTGGCAGTGACCTTACACTGTCCCTCTCTGGAGATGCCCGGGTGTGATTTTATTGTAGAAAAACTTTCTAGCTCTAGTTGTCCGTTTTCTGCCAAAGAGATCTTCTGAGTTACTGCCTCAGAGGACACTGTTTTCGTGGCCTCGTCCTCTCACCGACTTGCTTCATGGCAGTGGTCTTCTCTCTGCCTCATTGCCATGGTGCTGCCTGTGGCCTCAGGCTGAACGCAGGGCTTATGCGATGGTCTGGAGGAGTCCGTGGCTCCCAAGCTCCTGAGACAGCCGGTGAGGAGGGGCAGGCAGGCAGGCTGCGAGCGGAAGGCTAATTCGGTGGGAGTGAGGGGAGTCACTTAGGGACAGGACTTACCGTCCAGGTAATGAGAAGCGCGTAGAGGCTCAGGAGCAAGGATGACCGTAGGGAGATGTCTGAGCAGAGCCTGAGGCCAGAGGGGCAGCGCAGGAGCAAAGACGGAGGTGTCTCCTCCTCTATTTTATAAAACCCATCTCTCCCATCTCCAAAGTGGTGTGTTTGGAAAAGTTTGAGGCCATGGTCTTCCATGGTCTACAGTGTGAGCCCTGGGTTCCCTGGAGATCGCAGCCCTCTCTGTGGTTGCTGCAGACTCTCCTGCTGCTGACCACGGAACACATCAGCCTCGCCCCCAGGGAGGGCCTGAGAGGGGCTGAGGATGAGTGGGAATCAGGCCCGTTCTCTGCGCCTGGCTAGTGAGAAACACTCCCAGACCGAGGAGGTGAGGCGGGCCCTAGGAGTTTCTCTCTCACCCGGGTAATGTGGGCACCACAGGCTGCCGGCATATCAATGAGGTGGGAGGGATGTGGCTGGGATCAGTGAGTGACCAAGGATGGAGGAAACAGCTCACCTTCCCCCGAGTGGTTCCTATAGCAGTGTCTCTATGACACGGGCCAGACAGTTGAACAGATGGAGAAAATGCTGGCATATTTAATCAGTCCTCCCAAAGGAACTCACTGCCCGGTGTGGCCCAGTGCATCAGGGACCTGGGGAAGTGGACGATGAAGGAGGACTTGGGGTTGAAGGGAGTGTGAAGGCAGGTTGATAACTGTTTCGGTTGCCATGGAAAACCTTGGGGCTGGTAGGACTTGGGCCAAAGGCTCCGAAGCACAGTCAGAACTTGCTACACCATCGACTCGGCCTATGACGCAGAGAAACTGTCTGTGCTTTGGTGATAACGTGAGGAGAGTGTATACCGTGGGCAGTATAATTTCGTGGGCTTCCAAATCACAGAAATTGTTGGTCGTACCTTACCAGGCCAGCCCGCCCATGATCAAGACGACTAAGCAGCACGTGATGCTGTATAAATAGGATTACAAACCATTGTTCGTGCTCACCTTGCATTGGTCTATATAAATAAAATATGTACCTTGATAATCGTGATGCTGCGTGAGCTTCAAATGAATGATGAGGTAGATGATTTCTGTGATTCAGGGCAGCTGTCACACAGGCTGGAGGGGCCTGGCCTCCTAGGGGAGCTGCACCTTCAGGCCATGCTCACAGGGAGGGGCGGGGGGAGCGCTTGCCTGTCCTGTGGAGTCTCGTTTCCCAGGGAGCCATGTGGTGCAGGCCAGACCTGTGCACATCCCGCCTGTGCCACGTGCTGACCGTGTGACTGGTGAGGCCCCTCCGGAGCTCTGGCTTCACCTATAAATGGGGGATTGTTATATCTACCCCACAGAATCGTGTGGGTTAAAAGCCTGGACTTAACTGTGTTGAGTGTTGTAACTGTAGTTGTCATTAATCACGTCCTTCACACAGGCCAGCCGTTCCCTGCGTTCTCCAGCACCAAGTGTTCCTTCCTTCGCGCTTACGTGTCTCTTCCAGTCCCCACGCATCCTTAGGGATCCTCACAACACCCACCGCTTCTCACGCATCTCTAGAATCTCAGCTGCCCCACAGCATAAGATGCTGAGCAGATAACTAAAAGTAAGCAGAAACCTTTTGTGGGGGAAGCTGGAAATGTCACGTTGTTGGCAGACACAGAGACTGTGGTGGTTTCTGCAGTTAGATCCGGTGTGTGAGGCCGAGGGGGAAGACGGGGGGGTGGGGGGAGTGGGGGGTGGTGGTGGTAGTCTAGACTGCAGCCTTGGCTCAGGCCAGCATTGCCACCCGACGCTGGGAGGGAGAGGGGGGCTCCTGGAGTAGCCGCCCCAATACACTTGCCCAGAGCCCACCGCGCCTTGAGAAGGAATGCCCTCCGCCTAAGCAGTGTGGGGAGAGGCTGGCGCTGTGGATTTTAGAGCTGTAATCCTGAGAGCGTCCGAGGAGCGGGGTAATTGCAGGAGCCGCTGGCTCCAGCGTGAAGGTGACCGCAGGATGAAGCACAGGAGAACTGAGCAGAGGTAGGAAATGGGCCGGCGGGTCCTGAGTGATCGGTCACCTCAGGCCTGGACTCCAAACTTCCTGGCCCACCCCTGACTGGGCGATGACCGTGGGCAAGCCGCCCTCACAGTGACGGTGAGGAGGAAAGTCAGCGTTTGTGAAATGTCTCCCGGAGTGTAGGTGCCCGTACAGGATGCCTGTCCACATCCCAGGTACTTGACAGTGGCCTGGGCAGGGGAGAGGGTGCGAAGGAGGGCAGGGGAGAGGGTGGGAAGGAGGGCAGGGGAGAGGGTGGGAAGGAGGGCCTGGGTGAGCCGCAGGGGCGTGCAAGACCCAGGCAATGGAACAGCTGTGCCCCAGGCCAGCCCCAGGGGCACCACCAATGAAGGGCCATGTGTGAGTGAGGCACCGACCTAGTGTCAGGCAGGGACACACCCAGCTGGGGCTCAGGAAACGGAGCCCTGAGTGTGGATGGCTTCTGGCCTTGCAGCCGGAGCATCCCCATTCACTGTTCCTCCTAC